AAACTTCTCTGAAGAGGAAAGAAGGATGGCCAATAGACACATGAAGAAATGCTCAACCTCTCTAGCCATAAAAGAAATGCAAATCAAAACAACATTGAATTCCACCTCACCCTAGTTAGAATGGCTATAATCAAGAACTCTAATAACAACAGATGCTGGAGGGGATGCGGATAGAAGGGAACCCTACTGCATTGTTGGTGGGAGTGTAAACTTGTTCAACCACTTTGGAAAGCAGTATGGAGGTTCCTCAAAATGAGTACATTTCTTATCAAGCATTGTTGCCTCCTCCTTTGTTTCCCCTTCCCATCCCTTCCCATCCTTCCCTCGCCCCCCCCCACCGAACTCTCCTCCCCCCCCCACCAAAGTTGTAAAGTTCATTTTCGACATAACAACTTGTACATCTCATTGTTGCAATGGGTTTCTAGGTCTTATTTTTATAATAGTCTTGCCTTTCAAAAGTTCACTCTATTTCATCAAACCACAGATACCTAGGTCCCTTCAGATCAACAGAATCATTATTCCAAGTGACTAAGAAGTGCTGTCGAACACACAGGCCCGATGATTCTGACATATACCAAAATGGACAATATTACATGACATCTTCTACTTCAGAAAGGCTGAGCGTGGTGGCTCACGTCAATAATCCCAGCACTTGAAGCAGGATAATCATGAGTTACAGGCCAGACTGAACTATATAACAAGACCCATTCTCAAAAACAAAAGAAACAAATAGATGAGCCCTCAGGGTCTATAGCTTAAGGATCAAGAAACAGCAGGCCACTGGTCTGATCGATCACCCAGGAGACAACCACACCAATGAGTGAGTTCAAGGAGAGACCCTGGAACACTCCTAGAAGACAATGTGGCCGGTGTAGGAAACCACAGAGTGAGCAGCATCCTTGGGCAGCTCCACCCTGCCCAGAAGCAGCTCAGGTGAGCACAGGTGGTTTTTGCTTTTAACAAAACTAGGAAGGGTGAACACGGCCTCCGTGTTTCTGTACCTACCCTTCTCATCCTTCTGCATAAAGCTTGGTTGGTCAGGCCTGATGATATGAATTCATTGGGTTCTTTACCTACCCTCTCATTTCTATCGATGTGTCCCAGATAATCTAGCTTTCTATGACTTGTGCTGTGCTTATTTCCTTTTGCTCACCTACTTCAGTGGCCACCACTTGCACTCGGTACACATTTTCAGTTTCCCTGTCCAGTGGGGCCACGCTGAAGATCTCACCGGTGACAGCGTCAATTTTGAGCCAACCTCTGGTATCGCCCTTCAGTGAGTACCTTCATGAATGGAAAGAGCAGGGGAAGAAAGAACCCACATTACTTTGTATGAAAAGACAGTTTGTCCATCACCACACAACCTGAACAGCACTATCATTTGTCTGTTATTAACAACACATTTGAAGGATCATCCAATGTCTCGGTCATTTCTACTTGCATATCATCTTTCTTCAAAATGAGCATTCGTTCAGCTTTACAACATGGTATGGGTGCCTGTCTATTGTCACAAACTCTGTAAGAAAAGTTAATTTTCCTTGCAATTGAAGCATTCAAATTTAAGCAATCTAAAAGCATCTTTTAAAATCTCTCAGCAAACCACCCTTTCTAAGGCAACAAGCCCCCAGTGGTGAGCCGCAGGTGAGATGAATGAAGAATCAGAGACCGCTGGGTCAGCAAATCCCACATGCAGCGAACATCAGTTGAGTGTTTCACATCAGGCAGTGGGCCAAGGGAAGGATCTACTAAAAGAAGCTCTCAGGCAATGGAGGAGATAAAAAGGAGAATGGGTATTTCCACTGAAATGTGGCAAATATTGTGGGGAGAAATCCAGAGAACTCTGGGGAACCAGCGAAGCCTTCCGACAATGATGTTGACAGAGATGGAGAGGGGAGCTCAAGCAGGAGGGTGAAGGGAAGCTTGATGGGGGAGGGGCATCCCATGTATTGGGATACATGTGGTTTGAGGAGTCAGACATGCACACAGTGCTCAGCCATGGGCAGCCATCAAATGCTGCTGAGTGGGAAAGTGACCCGTTACATCTGTGTTTTCAGTGGAACCCAGCTCTCCTCATCCCCTCTGACTGTGGCCCTAGCACCGGGATAGGCCTGCCCAGCCCTGCTTTCCATACCTTATGTCCAGACCCTCGGGATCCCTCGCGGTCACACTGTACACTTTAGTGCCTACAGCCACATCCTCACTGACTTTTGCTTGGAATATATTTTGGGAAAATACGGGTGCTTCATTCACATCTGTCACAATAAGCCTGAACGAGGTAAAAGAACTGGTGTTGTACACAACACCAGACACCAGAGGCTCGGGATTCTCTGCTTGGACCATGATGGTAGAAACAGCTGCTGTTTCAAAATCAAGAGGCTGTGGAGGGTTGGAAAGAAGAGGATTATCTCCATGAAAACACTCATTTCTTATACACTCTTTAAAACTCTCACGCAGAATGGCACTTCTTAATGCAGTATCAGCAAAACATACTTCTCAGGATGATAACAAAGCCATAAAAAAGTCTTTACTGTGGGATTTATCAGAGCTTTGAAAAATTTAATGTGCATGATAACTCTCCTAGAAGAAGAAACCTAACCCAAACTCATTGAATCATGGGACTCTTCATTCATTTACCTATTAAACATTTACATTCTCAGGATAGTGCTTAGACCACAGTTCAGAAATGCTCAGACTACAGAGATCTCAGCATCGTGCAGAGTGACTTCTAAGGAGGCCTCAGAATCTGAGCCCCAAAATAAAACACTTTAGAATCATGGCAGGTGGGAGAGGTGATCAGGAACCATTGAAGATGGAGGATTGGTTCTCATCCAAGTCATGCTAGTGGGACCAGGAATGAAAATCAGGAAACCAGGAATGAAAAATGACAGATTTTTGGTTTAGTATGATGGCATAGTTAACAAGTAGGGCTATCTAAGATGAAAAGAGTTGATTAAGAAAATACATACGGAGTTGGAAGCGTAACTGAAGTGGTAGAGTGCCAGGCAATGAACAAAAACATCAGATACTGAGTTCAAGTCCTGGTCTCAGACCAAAACAGAAAACATGAAAGTTCACACTTCTGGAAATTTCCAAGCATGGGCCTAAAAACATGTGACAGCTTAAAGATATGACTATCATGTAAGCAACTGGCTCTATGGGGTCTTCATGGTCCCTCTAAAAGCTGAAGACTTGAGAAAGAAATTCTTAGGAGAGGCCAACTAAAGAACAGATGGCCACTGCCACAGGCCTTGCTTACTGGGCCTTGGGTGTCTCTGACTACCTCAATGTTCTACACATGAGTTGATGTGGATCTGGGGGATATGAGAATGCGTAGCTTTTATCATATTCGCACTCATGACCTCAACAATAAGAGAGGACCAATGCAAAGCCCTAATCTATATTATAGATTATGGAAACCTCCCCCTACTATGTTCATTTTTCTAGTTCTAGAAGACCCAGAATGCCTTGGTGAACTGTCGGACCTTCATCCTTATACCAGTTTTTCGTACACAGGCGGGACCATTACCCCTTCATAAAGAAAAAGATGGAGACATGTCTGCATTGGTTCAGCCTTCCCCTCCCCTAGGAGCTGCTCAGTACTGTCCTCTCCTTCTCTGCTTCCCTGACCCCAACAGACAAGCTCCACACCCCCTGCAATCTCGCAGCACTTAACCCAAGAATTCTAATTGTTTGCATTTTGTGTTGTAGATCTTCAACCAACTCTCCACTCCATGAGGAGAAGTGGGGACAAAACTAGATACCTCAACTTCATCTACGGTCGCATGATGTGGAACACAGATACACCTCTCTGTTCTTAGTCTGTCTATCACGGACACAGCTCTGTTCCTTGTCAGTTCAGCCCAGCCCAGCCCAGGCAAGCTATGTAGATGTCTACACTCCAAAGCAAAGAAGGCCTGCCTATCCTCATCCCCAAACAAGCCCTATGTCTACTTCATGGCTCTTCCATCCCATCACTACAGTCCCAAAAGCACAGGATTAAGAATTCAGGCAGAATGTCTGTCGAGGGGAAGCAGCCTGTGTTACCAGAATGAAACATGTGAGACCAAAGGGAGAGAGAAATGGCAGAGAAGACTGTGGGTGCCAAGCCAAAGAGCTGGGACTTTATCCTTGACTGAGAAGGTCAGATTTGAGTTTCAGAAAGATAGCTCCTGGTACAACTAAAGGAGGGGTGGGTTCAGGCTGATCCAAAGCAGGACAGAAAGATGGGATAAGAAAACTGGGCAAGAAGATCTGCCAAGAGACTCAGCTGGTGCTCCATAGTTATAGAATGGAGACGTAAATGACAAAGGAAGAGTCTGCATTGGGTACTCTGTCTGCTTAACTTCTACACTGAATAACACCCAGCCAAACCTGTGAGGAGCCAAAAAAAAAAAAAAAAGGGAAAGGGAAAGTACTAAGTTAGAAATGGTAATCAGCAAAGCTGAGCCCAGGGCCGCTGTTTTCCAGGTCAGCAAAGTCAAGAGACCTATCTCAGCTTGGTGAGCCACATTCACCGATGAGCTGGAGACTCTGCTCTTGCCCTCATTCCTGCCTGCGCACAACTGCCTGCAAGGCTGAAGCAGGGATTTAGACTCAACATTAAAGGAGAGCTAAAGCGTCAAAGGAGAGGGGCCAAGATGGGGAGACATTCAACATTTTCATCAAAGTGTGCACATGCGTTTATTAGATGATGCTCCCATCGGTTAAAAAGTCAGGAACCAAATATTTCAAAGGGCTTCCCATGCTGGAGAAGAGACAAATTTACATTTAAAAAAAAGATAAAACCAAAGAAAAACTCTGCATTTCAAGAAAGGAGGTCTCAGGAGAGTTATGAATGAGCAGAGCTCAAGAACGTAACTGTCCTGCTCATGATCAACACTACCTAACCCTACAACAGGCCCAGGGATGGTCACCGAAAAGGTGGTCGAGTGAGTCTGTTTTTCCACGCATTGCCTGGAGGACTTGCCCTAATTCCTGGTTTCCAGTCTTCTCCTAGGGAGGCTGAAGCAACAGTCTCCAGTGTGGGGGCTGGTGTGTATATGGGGAAGGGGAGTAAAAGTGATCGACACAATTGTTCTGAAGTTGTGGTCATCCCTTGACAATTACATATGGAGCGACATAGGAATAACACTCAGCCATACTTAAGAACACACATTTCAAAGCCAGGTGCTGGTGGCTCCCACCGGTATTCTAGCTACTCAGGAAGCTGAGATTTGAGGATGGAAGTTTAAAGCCAGCCCCAGGAGGAAAATCTATGAAATTTGTATCTTCAACTAACTACCACAAAGTCCAAAGTGGCTCAAGTGGTAAAGCTCAGCCTTGAGCACAAAAGCTCAGGGACAGCTCCCAGGAGCTGAGTTCAAGCCCCAGGGTCAACACATACAAACACACACACACACACACACACACACACACACAATCATATTACAGGGTCTGTCATTAAAAACACTTTGGCTAAAATGGCATGAGCATATGCATTTGTCCCACTTTTTTCTACATCTGGTAGGCAAATATTTAGTGGTTCTGAATGAAGAATCCACGTCTGAGACTTAGTTGTTGCTTGGCATTTGAGAGATTTCCCCATCTGAGGCTCACACTGTGGAGGGAGCTGCTACAATCCTCCAGCTAGCACTCTCCACCAGCATGACAAGGCTTATTAATTAACAAAGGGATCTTTCAAAGAGATTTTCTCAGTACTACGGCTTGTGTTCAGTACTTCATTTAGTTACAAATACAATAGGTTGCTTGATCATTGCCAATGGAAGTATGAGCCTGGTGGCTCAGCAGCTTGCGCCCTTCAGAGATCAGGACTCCAGCTGTGCTCTGTTGAGCATCAGTCTTCATCGTGATGACCAGGAAATCCCCTCTCTTGAATACTGTTATTACAGTGTTTCAGGGACACGGCCTCCTTATGTGACTGTTCATAATTATACATAGAACTGACTTCAATTATTCAGTCAACAAATATATGCAATACAACCATATACAAATTAAAGATGTGACAGAGTTTGGACAGAGGTCCACTCTATTATAGCATATTACCTCATGTCAAGTTTGGGATTAACTCTCACTACTAATCACTGAGGTTACCAACATCTCCCTCACTAGTGGAAAAATTAGTTTACTTTGACTTACCAGAAACTGCCATTATAGAAATTGACGTGTGGGAATGAACAGGCCTCTATCTTCCCTAGAAGGAAGCTCATGAGAGTCCTCAGAGAGGAAGGGAAAAAGTTTCCAATCATGTACAAAAGAGATGCTGCCTGGCCAGCCACTGCCAACTCTGAAAGCTGCCTTCTTCCTAAACGATCCTTCTGCGTTCTTTCTTTCCATGTAGAGAGCCATGAACCAGATGCAAAGGGGCTACAATGGAATCTTTCCCAAATGCCATACTTACATAGAATGTGCTGCTTTCCAGAGCCCCCACACAAACCTCTCTGTTGAGCCCAGAGAGGCCATTTATCTGAGATGGGGACTATAACATGTAGTCAGAGGTCTGAGACACTGTCCTGGGTACTGGCTTCAGTACTAGAACTTTTACACATTTGCTTTTATCCATTTCTGTGCTATCATTCTATCCGTAGTCACCTTCAGCCTCTGCTTTCAACTTATCTTTACTTTGACTCAAAACTGTTTCCTAGAACATTTCTGTGCAGCCTCCAGACACTGCCCTGCAATCTTTCAACAGCTACCATGCTTAATGATTCCCTATTGCTGAACTTCTGGCACCTCGTAACTGGAAAGCTTCCCTCCTTCTCCCAGGAAAGGTATTTTAGCTCTGAGTACATTGGACAGCGTTGAATGTGCTTACAAGTGCATCATCAGGCAGACCCATTATGTGTCCTAACACAGGCAGAATAGACAAAGAGAATAGGCTGAAGACTTTAGGGGAACAGGATGAGGACAATGTCGAAGGAGGACAGGGAGATCTACATAAAGAATAACTGACACACTTTAGCTATAGACTACCTAGTCCTACAGAGAAAGATACAACGCCAGAGCTGCTGGGTTTAGCAACATCATCAAAGATAAAAGTAAGGAGAGGAGCCAGATGTCAGTGGCTCATGCTATAATCCTAGCTAGATTGCGAATGGGAGGATTGTGGTTCTAGGCCAGTCTGGGCAGAAATGTCTGTGAGACTCCATCTCAACAGCAAGAAGCTGCATGTAGTGGTATGTGCCTATGATTCCAGCAATTACAAGAAGCCTAAAACAGGTGGGTGGTGGTGCAGTTGCATGCCCAGGCAAGAAGGAAGATTCTATCCTAAAAATAAAGCTCCATATGTGGAAAACATGGCTGAGGGCATGGCTCAGTGGTAGAATACCAGTCTAGCAAGTGTGAGGTTCTGAGTTCAAACCCCAGTATCATAAAAGAAAGAAAAGATGACTAGATAGATGGGAAGGAAGGAAGGGAAGGAGGGAGTCAGAGAGGGAAGAGATGAAAGGCTAAACTTGTCTATCAATCCCCAAAGAAAATCCAATGATTCTTAATCATTCAAAAGGAGTTGGTGTCAATAAAAAGAAAAAGAAACAGCTGGGGATTTGGGTGTTTAGCTCAGTGGAAGAGCACTTGCCTAGCAAGTGCAAGGCCCTGAGTTTGGCCCTCAACTCTGCAATAAACAAGGGTGGGAGGGGGGTTGCTGAAAAGGGGCTGGAGGCATAGCTCAGTAGTTGAGTACCTACCTAGCAGGTTCAAGGTTCTAAGTTCAAATCCCATTAATGCCAAGTGATATGTCACCTCTGCTGAATGGTCCTCACGCATTTACAAATAAGTCAATCCACAAACAAAGACAAATTCAGCAAATGGGCTATTTACCTTTTTAATTGTGACATATCCTGCATTGGTTTGGGGATCTGTGTCAATTCCTAGTCTTCCCTCGTCATCTCCCTGGGTAATCCGATACAGGATTCTAGAACTCCCAGTAAACGGCTCGTCAGCATCCGTGGCTTGGATGGTTAAGATGACAGACCCAACAGCTGTGTCTTCAGGGAGAGTCAGGACCCCATACTAAGGAAGAAACAGGGAACAATGAAAATATCCATTGTCATGGAATGTAATTGCCAAAGGGTAAGCCTGTTTTTTTGGTTTCAGAATAGACCTACATCATGGTCTACACCAATATTTTCCAAGTGTGGTTTTCCAATGGATAAACATGTTGCTGTAAATTTTAACTAACAATCAGATTTATGAATCCAAATCCATGGGAACATTTCAATGACCTACTGGCAGGATTCTAAAACAGATCACCCCTTCCATATCCAAGATGGTGTGTGTGTGTGTGTGTGTGTGTGTGTGTGTGTGTGTGTGTGTGTGTGTGTGCCCTGAGGCCTGAACTTGGAGCCTGGCACTCTCACTCAGCATTTTTGCTCAAGGCTAGAACTCTACCATTTGAGCCATATCTTCACTTCTGGCTTTCTCATAGTTTACTGGAGAACCCCACAGACTTTCTTGCTCAAGCTGGCTTCAGATTTCATCCTCCTGAGTAGCTAGGATTACAGGTAGGACTAAAGGCATAAGCCACTGGAGCCTGGCTCCCATGTTTAAGAACTATAAATGTAATAATAATAACATTATAAATAAATAGCTATAATGTACTGAAATGCCCAGAATGTGACAGATGCTTAATATACATATATTCTTTTAATTAATTTATTTATTGCCAGTCCTGAGGCTTGAACTCTGGGCCTGGGCACTGTCCTTGAGATCTTTTTGCTCAAGGCTAGAGCTCTACCACTTGAGCCACTCCTGGCTTCTCCTGTAATTTAATTGGAGATAAAAATATCACAAACTTTGCTGCCTGGGCTGACTTCAAACTGCAATCCTCAGATCTCAGCCCCCTGAGTAGAGATGAGCCAGTGGCACCCAGCTCATTATTTTAATTTTTAAATCAACTAAGAAATAGAGGTTAAGAGCTGGAACTTTAGAGTCAAGAAATTAAGATGAGTCCTACAGGGGCTGGGAAGTTGGCTCAGTGGTAGAGCGCTTGCCTTGCATGCATGAGGCCCTGGGTTCGATTCCTCAGCACCACATAAGCAAAAAGGAAAAAGCTGGAAGTGGTGCTGTGGCTCAAGTGGTAGAGCACTAGCCTTGAGCTGAAGAGCTGAGGGACAGCGCCCAGGCCCAGAGTTCAGGCC